TGAAAGAGCAGAGAACATTACGATAGAGAAGTAAGCATGTGAGAAGCCCCCAATAGCAGGCTTTTACCACTGCAGGGTCCTGAGGAGGGGAGTGACATGCTGCACTTGTCACTCACCCCCCTGAAGCCGGGCTTTCTCCGCCTGCTCGTAGATCCCGAAGAGGAAGCGGAAGCTGAAGTCCTTTAGCCGGCTCAGACGCTGCATGGTTTGGGGTGAGGCCCAGGGCGGCAGGGGCAGCCCATGTGTGCGCTGTGTATCATAGCAGGCAGGTTAGCTCCCCAGGCCTAAGCCAGAGCCTCTCCCGGGGGTGTTCTCCCCACTGGGAAGGTGCCTGTGTGTGTGAAGGAGGGAGGGAGAGGAGAGGTGAGGTGAGGGCCTGGAACCAGTAGACATGGCAGACAGCATGGAGGCTGCAGGGCACGGGAAAGGAAGCTCAGGCATGAAAAGTGAGACTCGGCAGAAAGGAGTCTGACGCGACAAGAGCCCTGGGTGGAGAGGAGCAGGAACTGCTGACAGTTAATAAACCATTTCCCACTCTGAGGTCCTTTTTCACTCGTGAGGGAAATTCCCGTATTTCACAAGCAGTGGCTTGCCTGGACCTCTCCAGTAGGCGTGATTGTGTCCAGGCACTGTGTTCTACTGTCCTGGTGACTTGGGCCTGCTGAGCAGGGAGAGAAGAACAATCACACCAGACACCCTAGTGAGCTCACCTCACAGAAGAGTGTGTCATAGACATTCCAGACGGTCTCCAGTGTCAGGTCCGTAAGCCCTGTCTCGTTGGCCACCATGTCCAGAAATTGCTATGAAAAATGGATCAGGGATCAGTCCTGCCCTGGGGAAGGAGCAGTCTGATGACCTCCTCCCCAGCCTCCACTCACTGCATTCTGAATACTCTCTTTCTGATACTCTGATGTCCGTCGAGTCTCGTTCTGCAGCTGCTCATAACGGGGACAGGGGCCCAGCGGGAACTTCAGCAGCTGCAGACCGAAGGGGGAAAACAGGCAGAGATGGAGTCTGGGATCAGCAGACCCATGGCCAGACATGTCCCCCTCATCACCTCCAAGGAAAGGTTAGCTAGTCTTACTCTGTCCTCAGCGATGGGCACAGTGTGGACAGGGATAGGCTGCCACGAGATGTTTGGGTTGAAGCGCTGTATCCCATTGGGAGGGAAGAGTCCAGCTAGGTTGGCCTCTGCACTCATGAGAGTACGGTCAAGGTCTGTGCTTCGCACATAAACCTGCAGAGATAGCAACACGAGTCTTGCCTGTGTGTGTGTGTTGTGGGGGAGAGCTTTGGCCCCTCAGCGGGACCCCAGGTGGAGAACCTGCTCTTGACAGTTACCCCACAAATTATTATTATTATT